TATCTTCTAAAAATAGTGTGAATTATGACATGAAAACTGCGGCTTATAACAGAGAATCTCTATTTTTATACCAATTATTAATGCGCAAAATACGGAAATGTTGATTTCAATTCATTCTTTATAATTTAAATATCAGGAAACTCAACTTACTTTGCCTAACTATCTAATTAATTCTCAAGAAGGAATTATCAGAATTGTACTTAATATAAATACATTTTCCTTTGAGTCAGTAAGTGGCTTTTTAAGAGACGATGTCGTGTTCAAGTTAATTATCAAGTTGTGAATGGTAATGATTTATATGAAAATAATGAATTTTATGCTACTAATTTGTTAATTTTACATAGCTCGATTATGGAAAATCAAACACGAACATTTAATCCTTTATCGATAAAAAATCTCGATTTAACTGGACATTAAATGTTGCTTTGTTTTGAAAGTCCATAAAGACACACTAAAAAAAGACTAGCAGATAAGCGCAGTGGTTGTTGTAAAGTTAAAATAACGCTTTGAAAGCGTGCATCAATTATTGAAAATCAATATCTTCCTGATCAGTGTGAGTTCAAGTGGAAAAATATCATGCAAGTTTGCAAGGTAAGTTAATTTTTCTTGATGAAAAATTTCTTCAAGATCGTTATTAAATGAATCTTTATAATTTAGTTTATTCCTAATTATTGGTAAGAATAGAAGTTAATGAAATACTTAAATGGGATACAAAATATATATATTCGTGCGAGAAATTTGTGCAATAGTTAAAAGTACATTTTGTAATGTGCTAACCTTATTGCTAAATGAAAAATGTTTTACTATTTGTGCACTAATTTGATTTGTTAAAGATAATTTAAATTCCGACTGACTTCATTATTTTGTTTACTATCAATCTTTCTTTGTTATTTAAAGTGCCACCGTGTTAAATCATGTATTGAAGAGATTTTTAGTTCATTTCTTCGCTGAACCTCATCGAGGATGACTAAAATTAATATTATACTTATACCTTTTCAATTAAAACATTAATAAAATTGTCAATAAATCGACGGCTTATTTGTCCATGTCCATATCTACCTACAACGAAGGAAAAAGGTAATTTGAATGGGTATTATTTCAAAATATACTATTTGATTATTAAAATATGTAGATAAAATTTCAAAATTTTACCTTACAATCTTTTTGTTAAAAAAAAACCAAAAAATTCTTAAAAATATAAATTATAAAAATTCTTATCCTACAAATATTCAATTCGCTTTGTATCATTTTTGCAAAATAATAAAGGTGTATAACACTTTCGCAAATAAATGTAAGTAAAATATTAAAAGCAATAATAAAATAACCAGAGATTAAATCGAAGGGTACAAATGTAAAAAAAATATTAATCCTAACTCTAACTCTAACACTATACCCAAACATAAGGGAGTGAAATATAAGATTTTAGTAAAAATTTGGTTCCCAGATTATTTAGTAAAACCGAAGCATAGTAGGGTGTGATGCGGCGTAATAAGATTATATATATCACATGACATGTGTTTCATACACCCTAAATGAAATTTATTGAATAAAGTATATTATTACCAATACAATATTTTAATAGAAAAAAAATCCACTAGTAAATTTGTATAACTATATTATTACATAAAAAATATACCAATTAAAATAATAAAACTATATAAACTGAATTTTTATAATATTTATATATCATTATTTTATAAATGTTAAATTTTTAATTTGAGTTAACAAGAAGGTTATAGCATGTAGTAGCATGTTGATTTTATCGCCGGAACTCTATTACTTCCGAAAATTTTCGATTATACATATAGAGTTTTTGATTGTAAACTTTACATTGATAGTATAAACCTTGTAGTGAAGTGTGACAAATAAAAATAATAATTATAAGTTATTCTGCAATGATTAATATCAAAATTATTGCCCAATTAATAATGACGACCAGTTAGATTTCTAACGTGGCTGGCTAAATCTTATCGATCATCATTACGAATTAGACAATAATTATCAACGCAAGCACAATAACGATATTATCATGTGACTTAAAATTATGAAGAGAAAGTTCATTATCATTCTTTCTTGTCATTTATATTAGATTCTTTTAAAAAAAATGGAAGACCCCACGAATTTTTTTACCTTTTTGTATTATAAAATTAATAATAAAATTTAACTAATATTTATTTTTAAACGAATTAATACTTAAGAAAAACTTACTGGAAAGAAATCTTAACGAGCTTATTAACATATTCATAGAAGAAGAATTGCTCTATTCAATAAAAAAGCAAGATTTAATGCCTCCTCAATTAACAATTAATTATATGATAAAATACTATATTTCAAGATATACCAACTTTCATTGGTAATGCATCTTTGAGTATTTTTATTTTATTATTATCCTAAATTTTTTTTCAAAAATATAGATGAAAGTACAACCAACAATAAAATATATCCCTTTTGTCAACCACTTCAGATACTAAACTATTAAATGTAGATGTTCTATTCCACATAATTGAATTGATATCGCGAAAAGTGAAAAAGAATAAATTATTTAAATACTCGCTAAAAATCTTTTTGAGATATTTATTAATTAGCCCTCTTTTATCTTACTAAAAATGAGCAATGGGATTTTGAAAACTTTATATTTAGAAAAATATTCCTTAATTACTATTATTTATTATTGAAAATAGAAACAAGTTACTAAAATTAATATGTATAATTAATAATTAATAAGTATTATTTATTGTGCTTAGCAGCGATTAATACAACGATATTATCGTGTGATTTTATGATGTTGACTTAAAATTAAGAATGAAGATATGTTCATTTTCATTCCCTTTCTCGTCAATTATACTAAACTTTATAAAAAAAGTGAAAGAACCATTTTTTAAGAACCACGAAAAAAGGTAAATTTGTTTACTTTTTTGTGATAACGTAATTTAACAAATTTTTATTTTTAGGCGAATTATACTTTTAAAAAAACCTACTGAAAACAAACTTGTTAAACTATAATAGAAAACGAATCGCAACATTTATATGCTAAAAAACTATATTTAAGATATGGCAATTTTTTAATAATTATGCATCTTTGATCATTTTGATTATTTTGATTTTTTTTATTATCCTTAATTTTGCAAAATATAGATGAAAGTTCAACCATCAATACTCAACACAATAAATAGATCCCTTTTGTCAACCACTACAAATACCAAATGATATCCAAAAAATTACAGCTGATAAAATTTAATTATTTCTGTAGGTGTTCTATTCCGCATAATTGAACTAATATCGCGAAAAGTGAAAAAGAATAAATCATCTACTTGTTAGGAAATGTTTTTTTGGATATCTATTAATTAGCCCCATTTTAGAAAATAATGAACTTTAGCTCAGAAATTCTTATAATTTGATTGCCAAAAATTTAAAATCTAAACTAAAATTAGGCGATGGGACTTCTTGAAAATTTTTACAGTTAGCACAATATTCCATATTTACTATTTTACACTTATGTATATTATTTTTTAGGTTGAAAACTGAAACAAGTTACTTGATATTAATAAAAGTATAAAAACAAGCATTATTAATAGTTTATTTATTAATGTAGCTAATTTCATATAAACTTCGTGATATCATAAAAAATATTAAAAAACAAGATCGTCTACATATATGGGTGAGCACGATAATAAGGTTTAAAAGAACTTTATAAAGTTAATTATCAAAAATATACTGTATATTATTAAGTATAACAAAGTCATAATGTCAAGAATTGAAAATAATCATGCGACTGCTTTTATAACCACCCATATTTTTCAGCCTTCAGAAGTGAATAAACTGAACATCAAAATTTTTTGATTTATTTTAATATCTACAAAAATAAACATATACAAATCAATTCACACACGAATGAAATCATAAAAAGGTGACTATAAAATAAATTCTCATTTTTATTTACATGACAAAGTTCTTGACAATATAACTTTTAATACATTTAAGTAGTAATTTATTATCATAAATCCTGTTACTAATACTTAAATATAACTATTAAATATTTTTAACTTTTATAAATTTTTATTTAACTGTAATTGAAAATTTCATACAAATAAAATAATGGTATTCGATTTGTTCAGCATTCCCCTTAAATAATTAATTATCTTTACAAAGCCTTTTTTAAAAAGTTAGGATATCATACAGTAAAAATAAATATGAGAAAGCTAATTTCTTAGATAGCTTTTGTGCAAAATGCGAAAAATTTGATTTTTAATAAAAGAATTGAATCTTTACTTTTATGAATAACATTAAGAAAATAATTTATATTACAATCTAACGAAAGAAACTTCTAAATTATGGCGAAAAAGTTGATTGTTCAATTAGATTTTTAGATTTATTAACGTTAAAGTTTCCTAATTTTAAAATAAGCATTAATAAATTTATTTATTTATAATGACGTGACATATAAAGTGTATTTATGGATTATAATATATAAAGCAGACACTCAACTAAATTAAATACTCAAAATCAGCATGATTATACCTATACAATAAGTGTTTTATTATATAGACTCGCACGATCACACTATAAAATGTGTTTTTTATAGTCCATTTAATAATTTTTTTTTTCTACAATACTCTTTTTCTTTTCGAATTTTAACATGAAAGTTCCGCGAAAAAATAAGGTTAGTATTGGCTGTTTTGCATGTTATTTAATTATATCATGTATTTTGTAGTTATCTTTTTCGATTGTTTATACTAAACTTACAAAGGAGCAAAATGAATATTTTAAACAAAAGTCCGTTGTTGAAAATACTCATTTATCAACAAACAGCTTGCTTAAAAATATTTGAATATTATTATGAAACAGTTGAACTAGCTGGTAATTGTGAGAATATCACTAACTTAAAAGACTTGGAAGAATAGATATCTGATTATGTTACAGTAATGATACAACAAAATGGAGAAGAATATTCAATATCATCTATAATTAATGCAATGCATGCATTAAATTGAAATATAAATATGTATTTCCCACTACAACCAGTTGATTTACTTGATCAAAAACAATTTCCTGATTTACATTTAATACTTGGTGGTAAATTAAAAGAATTAGCTGAAGTTGGTAAAGGCATAAAAAAGAGATCTTTAACACTTACTATTGAAGAAACTTAACAGATTTTGCAATCTCCTATACTTACTCAAGAAACTCCATTAGGACTTTTAAATTGAATCTTTTTTTATAATGCAATTTTTCTTGATATTCATGATGAAGAACATTATAAATTAAAATTTAACCATTTTCATAAACAATATAATGAAGGTTATGATGTAAATATTAAAGATAAAACAAGAATACTAAAGATCTAAATAATGATTCTGATAATAAATTACAAATTTTGGATTATTCAAATATTATTGCAGATTATGATTTATTTTTAGTAAATATCCTGTTAATGTAAAAAAGAATTTTTATTTACAGAAAGTAATTAATGCAAATGGTAAATAATATATTATAATTTCAAAAATTTAATAATAATATGATTTATTAATTTAATTGCTATATTTTATTAGTATATATTTATAAAGGTAGATTATATTTGAAAAATCAAATAGGAAAATTTGATTACAAGGATTTCTTTATAATCTTACAGTTGAATATTAAATTTCTGTTAAAGAGAAAAAAATTACTAATTATTCTAAGCATAAATCTTTAATTTCTTTATTAAAAAAGTTAAATTTTACAAATATTAAAGTTATATCTATATCTTGATATAAATCTATAAATAGATTGAAATCATATGAATGATCAAATAAAAAACTTCAAAATGTTTTATTAAATGAATTAGTTAGTACTATTTTTACATCTGGTATTTTTAGTATTATAAAATTTCATATAAAATATTTATAATTGATTTATTTTTGTATACAAATCAAAATACAGTGGGTTATTAAAAGTATTTATCACGTGCCAATCATTAAATAATTTTTTGCTAAGTAATTTAACTTAAAAAGGCAATAGATTAGCATATAAATTATTAAATTTGACAAACATTTTTTCCTGAAATTATGATAGTTTTTTTTAAAGATTTTAAAAAAAATATTTTTTTAAGTTGCTTTTTAAAAGAATATCTAAAAAGCAAAAAGCTTTTATTTTTGAATAAATGAAATTATTGAACTTCATAAAGGCAATCATAATCTTACAGGCCTTTTCAGAATTTTAAATATATTAAGAATAATAATAAATAATGTAATTAATAAGTAAAAAAAAGATGAATTAGTATCTCCTGTTCCTTAGTCTAAAAAACTACTTGTTTTTAATGATCATAATAAATAACATTTTATTTAATTACTTAAAATGATAGACAGCAATCTATTAATGAGTTAAATAAAAAATTCAATAAATTAGAACTTAAAACTTCAAGTTCTTCTATTATATGTTATAACCTTTATGAATTAAAATATCATAGGTATGCTGAAGTTAAAAAACCTTTAGTTTTAGAAATAAATCATCTCAAATATCTTAATTGGTATAAAGAAAGAAAAAATTAGAAAAAGGAATGGAAAATTTAGTTTAGAGTAATGAACCTCAATATCTTTTATTTTAAAATAACTCTAACCATTAGGTTTAGTGAAAACCTCATGAAAAATATAATATTAATTATTTGTTACTTATAATTAAATAAGTATAATAGTTTGAAGTTATTTTATTAATAATAAATTTGATCTATTTGTAATTATTAAAAAGAATATTAATGCAAAAAATATTTAGAAATTCTAAAAGAACATTTATTACTTCTTTATGAATCTCTTGACAATGAAGATGTTATTTTTTTAGGATGATAATGCTCTTGTATATAAAGCAAGAACTGTAACAGACTGAAAATATGAAAAATTAATAAGTTTTTTTCATGGCTAGCTCAAAGTCCAAATTTAAATCTAATTGAATATATATAGGATTATTTGAAAAGAAAAATCTGTAAGTATAGTCTAAGATTAAAATCTACAGAAAAACTAGTCTTAGTATTCTTGGTATTGTAAGAAAAATGTTTGAATGTTGATTTAGAATATTTAAAAAGTTAGTTTTTAGTATACTAAAAAAAGTACATATTGTAATTAAAAATAAAGAATACTTGACAAAGTATTAATTGCATTTTTAAAAAGTTTATTATATTAGTTTCTAAAAATATGTATTTTAGTTAATAAGAAGGTTTTGAAAAATTAAGTATCAAAATTTTAATAAAATTTGTATCATATTAGATCGTTAAAATGTGATGAATACTTTTGATCATCTACTATACTTTAACAACATATAGTACTACTTCAATGATCAATGATAAATAAAGCAGATTTGCAAGTAATGAAAATAAGCAGATAGTGATAAAACATCTGATATAATTTTAACACCCAGCTTTCATATTATATTGCAAGGTGCTATATTATTTATTAATATTATATTTTAAATATTTAAAATACTTATTTTTATCTGAATTCTTAGTAGAAAATAATTCTTTACAACAAATTAAAATGAAAAATGATAAAAAAGTAAAAATGTCACTTCAAGAAGATAAAAATATTTTTAACTTAAATGTTAATATTGAGAGTTATCAAGATCTTTTTAAATAAACTGATACTAAAGTTACTTTTTAAAAATGTTTATTAATTTTAATAGTATGAAAAATTAAAAAAATTAATATGTTTGTATAATAAAGTGACATTCAATTATTATATATAACAATAAATGTAAAATATACATAGTGTGATCTTTTAAGAATATAATATAAATATATTTACCTTTTATTCTTTTATATATACAAAAAAATTTGATAAATAAGTTTAAATGTGTTGTAGTACTTGGGTTGGAAATATATATATCGCATAAGTTAAATTAGCTTAAAAAACTCATCCGTTTAAACTTGTAAATTAAGCATATTATAATTGTATCTAAATAAGTATTTTGCCAAAAATCCTATTAATATCCATTTGAATAATTTAATTTAATTTAAAAAGTATAAATGTTTGCTTGTACAATAGCTTGGCTATGAATTTATTTTTTCTATATCTGAAATTTTATTCTCTTCAAACAAATCCGATTAATCAGGATTGTCGTAAATAATTCCTAGAGCAACTGCATTGAGTCATAGTTTGAATATAAACTTCTGGAGTTCCATTAATAATTTCAGGATGAAGTCCAAAGCAAATTTCAGTAACAGTTGAATATCATATACTCTTGCTCTAATTACACCATGGTCAAATACCTGTAGAAAGTGTCCACATGATAATTCCAAAGCTGTAAATATCTAAAGACTTTGTTGGTGGATTTCTCTATAAAATTTCAGGATCCATATAAGGAAGAATTCCATATATTTAATTTGAAGTTTTATTATTAGCTGGACAATGTAATCCTCCTATATCTGCAATACGGAATCTTGTTTCTCATGAAGATTTCCATGAATTAATTAATTTTCATGATGATATTCTTCCAAAGCAAAACAACTATATCTTTCCAATAAAGTATTCCTTTTACTTCCATCCAAATTGCTGAATAAATCATACTAAAGTCTCCGCCTTTATTCGTATGTTATATAAGGTCGAATTGTTCAAATTCAATATATTCCAAGTAATCTACACTTTCAGATGCATTTAATTGATTGTGATTAATAACATTATCAATATTAAGATTGCTACTTGCCAATTTACAAAGTTTTCTTTAAAAGAATTGATATCACAATCTTAACGCCATCCCGCACTGATTCGTTGTTCACCGCATTCAGCACATTTTTCCAAACAAAAAGGACTTGATACACTCATGTACAATTTCCAAATCCAGAGACATAATTACTCTGTAAATTTGTAAAAGGATTATTTTACAATATATAAATGGTTTATATGCTTAATTCCTGAATATATGGGTCAAAATCAAATTAAATTTTTTAAACGAAATTATTTTCCAAATTTGGAAAAGTGATTATACTGAATATAAATTTCGCTTTCGATGTTTTGCGGTTAGTCTTTTGAAGATCATTTGCCAGGTTGTCAGGGTGCCAGGCTGTAAAGGTGCCAGTATAACAAAATATCAAGAACGCCAAGCCAAGGTGTCAGTATGACAAGATGTCAAGAACGCCAGGAGTCTTAATTAATTTTTTTTTTATAAATATGAGCCGGAAACTTAACATTCCACGCTCGCCCTTATTATATTTTTGCATACATACACCTTGAAATCCTTTTACCCATTCGCGATATTTTCGTTTCTCCGTTTTAACTTTTGAGATTTCGGTATCTGTAACTTCGTTATTTTTGTAATTGTTCGTAATTGCGCAGTTTAATTAATTAGAGTTTATTGATTGGCATTTACTTAGTTTAATATATAGACATTGCGAAAGCGTAAGGCGCAGGCGTTGAGGCAACGCTTATTATTTTTGATATTATTAAATAAATATTTCACAATATTTCATTTTTACTCAATAATGATTCAATATAAACTGCTTACAAAATTGTTTATAAATACATAAACGAAAGAACAGAATACAACAATATCTTATAAAAATAGGGACAAAATTTGTATGTCGTCATTTCTAGCTCTTCCATATCCTATATGGAGTTTATGTGCTGTCTCTCTTTTAAAAAGCTTCAAATCCCATATTATTATATTTTGACTGAATTAGATCTACAATGGCTGACGAAGGTCGCAATTTTCGCACCATCCCATACTTCTTTGTCCTTTTTC